ATCAATGGAACAGAATAGAGAACCCAGAATAACCCACAAAAGTATTAAGTAAACTAATTGTGACAAAACTGCAGTAGACATCCAATAGAATAAAAGACAGTCTCTTTCTCTTACATAATCAGTCACAAAAATAAACTCAAAATGGATGAAAGACCTGAATGTAAGACAGGAAGAATCAAATATAGAGACAGCAGGTAAAGCCTGAAGCTTTGGCCACAGCATGTCTTTGCACTACAACATGTTCCTGAGGCAAGGAAACAAAAGCAAAATGAACTATTGGGAGCCTCATCAAAATAAAGGCTTTCTGCACAGCAAAGGAAACAATCAGCAAAACTGGAAGGCCAACCCATGAATGGGAGAAGATACTTGCAAAACCACCTGTCCGAGATAAAGTAAATGGTATCCAAGACCTATAAAGAACACATGGATCAAATTCTCAACACCCAAAAGCAATCCAGTGAAGAATGGGGTTAAAGGAATAGACACTTCTCCAAAGAAGATATATTCAGAGTGAGTTAGCAGACATTACTACAGAAAACGCCAACATCACCATCATCAGAAAATACAACCAAACTTCACAACAGAGATACCACTCCACACCTGTCAAATGGCTTATTACTGACAACCCAGGCAACAACAGATGTTGGTAGGAGTGCAGAGAAAGAGGATCTCTTTTGCACTATTATAATGCAAACTGCTGCAGACAATTTTGGAAAAACGGCATGGAGGTTCCCTCAAAAAAAATTAAAAATAAACTACCCTGCCAACCCATAATTTATGCACTACCAGTATTTATCCAGGATACAGGTATGTTGTTTTCTTTGGGAAAACAAGCACCCCATCAATGTTATAATGGCAGAATACTGTCAACAATAGCCAAAGTATGGAAAGAGTTCAAATGTCCATCGATGGATGAATGGATAAGAAGATGTGGTAACATATACATACAATGGAGTATTACTCGGCAATCAAAAGAATGAAATCTTGCCATTTTACCACGCGGGATGAACTGAGGGTATTATGCTATGAAATGG